GAGAGTTCAAAAGAAAAAAAAAAAAGGCAACAACTCTGCCGTGACATATAACCGGGGAGCACAGTAGGTGATTGGGTGAGTGAGTAAGTGAAGAATATGTGTATCAGTTTTTTTTTTACTTCTTCACCCCCGCCCACTTTTCCTCCTGTGATTTTGCCGGGAGGGGACGCAATGAACAACGCGTCCTGCGCACAGGTACAGCTACAAATGTAGTGACATATATATATATATATATATAACCGACACAAAGCAAATCTTGCGAGTTCTTCTCTGACCGCACAGTGGCCCGTCAAAATGGTGTTCTCGAGTTATTCCCCTTCGCAAGGGAGAGTAGCAACGAAAACATAAAAAAAAAAGGAGGGGAAAAACAAAAAAAGAAAGGCGGGTGGGGTGGGCGGGAGAGTCACAGGTGGAGCCTCGCAACCCCATCCTCACCCACGCAGACAAAGAGACCGAGGTAGTCTACAGATACAACTTTATATATTCCTCTCGTTATATAGAAGGGTACAGCGATATACAGATTGATAGCTGGATGGCATTAGAGCGAAGGCCGCAAAACCAGCGGGGCGGCAAACGCGTATAGTCACGCACGTCATTGGCAAGCGAGCAAGGCTCACCCCACGCATGCACAACGGTTCCCTTCCTCCTCCCCTCCCGCAACGCCAACACCAGGCACGAGGACGCTGAGCGCGAAACAAACTTGCAAGAGCGAGGGAGTCAAAGTGCACCGGCGCCCTCTTCGTCCATCACCTCGTCGAGTTTGATATTCACTTCGCCGTGCGGCCTTTGCGGCGAATTCGCGTGGCGTCGAAGAAAAAAAAACACACACACACCAACAGGCAAAAACAGAAGACCACCCACGAAGCAGCTTACCTGTCTTACGTACAAAGACGAAGGCAACAGGAGGAGACGTTCTGCTTCCTCCTCGCTGAAGTGCGCCTCGTTTTTTCGTTACTTTCTCTTTTATTTTTGTTGCGGCGGCGGCGGCGGCGGCGGCGTTGCTGCATTTTTGTCCTCAACAACGTGCCCCTGCCGCCCGCCGTGCCCCCGACCCGGTTACAGGTCAGACACACGCACGTGGGGCCGCACAGTCAGAGAAATAGGGGGGCGGGAAAGGAAAGCAAAGGAAGGCAAGGAAAGGAAAGGAAAGGAAAGGACCAATATATATATATATATATATAACTATAAATATATAAGCGTACAAAACGAAGACGAAAAAAAAAAGGCGAATTCGAAGAAAGATGATACGGGAAAAAAAAGATGATAAAAGGCACGAACCGGGGTGATGGGAAGGTGCGAAAGTTTCCTCGTACTGGAGTTAGCTGCAGCTTGTCGTAGTCGCGAGGTGTACCGCTGTGCGTTAAGTAAAAGTGGAGGCATATACTGCCCCGCACCGCCGCAGTACAAGTCGTTGTAGAAGTGAAACGCATCCGCATCCGCATCCGCATCAGCCGGCCCAGGCCCCACACAACCGTGGAAGTAGCGCGACAGCAAATAAACCCATTAGATATCCACCATCGCGTCGTCGTCAGCGTCGTCGTCAGCGCCCTCGTTGCCCGCCTCGCTGCTTGAAAGACCGTCGAAGAGCGTGCTGGTCGTGCTTCCCGCCGTTCCGGACAGCAAGGGTTCGTTCCTCAGTCCACAGCGGCTGTCGTGGCCAGAGAACAGACTCGGGTCAAGAAGGCCCTCCGCGGCATCCGCGGCACTGCAGGGCTGCTTAAAGAAGGGGTGCTGCAACAGCTGCGCCGCCGTGGAGCGTTTACGGGGGTCCGGCTGCAGGCACTGCAGAAGCAAATCCCGCAGCGTCGCGGAAACGACAACGCCCTCACGGAATTTCCTCGGGGAGATGGACTTCCTCGCACCACAAGCGTCGGAGTCCCGCCCAACGCGGGGAATAAACCTCCAAATTTTTTCCGGACGCGTTGCGGTCTCAAAGAGGATGGCGGCAGGGTTTGACCCGGCATGCGTGGGAGGCGCACCACGCAGGAGTTGGAGAATGGTGCAGCCAAGCGACCACACATCCGCCGCCGTGCCGCACCTATCGGAGGTGGTGTGCAGCTGCAAAATCACCTCCGGTGCCATAAACCCAGGCGTGCCGGAAAGCACTTCGCCGGCAAGCTGCGCCAGACCCTGTTCATTGAACTTGCTTCTGTCGTTGGCGGCGGTAGACGGGGCTCGAGTGCCAAGGAAGCGTGCGCAGCCAAAGTCGCCCAACTTCGCCGCTGGAAACCGAGGCTGGGCGTTGACTTGGCTGTCGCCGCAGTCGCCGGCGCGTGCGTCGCCCCACGTGACCAAAATGTTCTCCGCCTTGACGTCCAAATGCGCCACGTCATTGGCATGCAGGTACGCCAAGCCTTCAACGATGGGGTTTAGAAACCAGCGCAATGCCCTCTCACGCAGTCGCCCTGCCTCATAGTGCTGGCGAACAAAGGACAATAGCGAACCGCCCGACATGTATTCCAAGTAAACGCGGCAAACGGCGGTCCCACCCGTCCCCACATCCGTCTCAACTCCATAAAACTGCACCAATCCAGGGTGACAAAGTTGCTGCCAAAGACGCCCCTCCTCCAAAAAGGATGCGTCCAATACAATGCTCTTGGGAGTGGTGACGGGGGGCGGATTCAACTTGTTGCCTGGGAGGTTCCTTAGCTTCTGAATTACCTGATGCACGGGAACAGCAGCCAAGGACGGTACCTCAATCGTCTTCACTGCGTAGTATTCCCCAGAACGATGCATGTCTTCGCAAAGCCAAACTGTGCCTTGGCGGCCGCGGCCAAGCAATTGGCCGCAACGGTGCACCGTCGGTGGGAAACGCAGCTCCTGTGAATCCGTCCACGATGTGATCAGCCCTTTCCCTGCTTTGCTGAGAGGGTCCTCCCCTGCATCAGTCCCTGCCGTCTCATTTGCCAGTGGGCCGTTGACTTGAGGCTCGGAAGCGGAGAAGCATCCTGCGCGGGGGTTCTCCGTTTCCCATTGCCCCGCCAAGGAAGACAACGTGGCGGAGCCTCGATACGGTGCTGTTGCTGACATGCACTCCCCGTCAACGTTGTTGTCCCCAGACTTTGCAACGGCAAGGGAACACGCCGAACCCACTCACTCCACGGAATATATATAATATAATATATATATATATATCAGACCCAAAGAATGTTGCTGCGCTTCCTAATGGATTCGCTACAGACGCCGATGTGGCAGCTGCGCGTACGCCAGAGGAGGGCAACTAATTGCCTCTGTATGCGTATAGATTATATTATAGATACAGGGTGAGAGTGGGGCAAAGGAAACACCGTCAACTCCGCTTTCTAACTAACTCCTCCAGGGTATTTTGTTGTTGTTGTTGTCCTTTTGTGTGTGTGTGTGTTACTGTTGTTGTTTAGTGTATTTTTTGTTTTGCCGCGTATAATGCGCCGCCGTG